CATTGCCTTGGTATTTTACCGGGTGTTAAGCCAATAAAACGGAAGAAAAGAAACATTATCCCAGAGCGGCAGGCTGCGACGAATGACGAGGTCGATAAACTACTACAGGTAGGGTTCATTAGAGAAGTACAGTATCCCGAGTGGTTAGCGAATGTCGTCCTGGTGAAAAAACTGAACTAAAAAAGGCATATGTGTGTAGACTACACTGGGCTCAACAAGGTGTGCCCTAAAGACTCGTACCCACTACTCAGAATAGACCACTTGGTAGATGCCACATCGGGTTATGAACGACTGAGTTTTCTAGACCCATTTTCTGGGTATCATCAGATCTCCATGGTAGACTTGGATCAGGAGAAAATTTTTTCATCATTGATGCTGGGACATACTGTTATACGACCATGCCATTCAGACTAAAAAGTACTGGGCCAACCTATCAGAGAATGGTGAATAAGGGCTTCAAAGACCTGCTCGGGAGTGTAATAGAAGTGTATGTGGATGACATGGTCATCAAGAATATGAATGCCAGTGACCATGTAGATGACTTACAGAAGGTGTTCAACATTACTCGACAAAACAAACTGAAGTTCAATCCGGAGAAGTGTGTTTTTGGAATAGTGGGTGGCAAGTTCCTGGGCTTTATGATCACACAGAGGTATCAAGGCAAATCCGGACAAAATTCGAGCCATTCTAGAGATGAAAATCCCAAAAAATAGAAAGGACGTCCAGAGGCTAATGGGTCGGGTAGCGGCATTGAATCGATTCATGAGCTGGGTAGCGGATAAGTGCTACCACTTCTTCAAATCGATCGGGGGCTCTACCAACTTTGAATGGACAACAGACTGTGATGAGTCGCTTAAATCTTTGAAGCAGTCATTGCAGCAGCCACCAGTCTTAACTAGGCCATGCCTAGGGGATGTGTTGAGCTTATACTTAGCAGTGTCGAAGTATGCAGTTAGTGCAGTATTGGTGAAAGAGTTTCCAAAGATGCAGAAGCCAGTTTACTACGTTAGCCAAGTGTTGAGAGGCACAGAAGCTCGATATAACCTCACAGAGCAGTTGGTATTCGCGTTAATTGTAGCAGTTAGAAAATTAAGGCCGTACTTCCAATCCCATACTGTACAGGTTATGACCGATCAACCTGTCAAGCAAATTTTATATCGCCCTGAGACTTCGGGTAGGATGTTGAAATGGGCAATCGAGCTGAGCAAGTTTGACATTGATTTTAGGCCAAGAATGGCCATCAAGGCACAAAGGTTGGCAGTCTTTATTGTAGAGCTAACAACTCCGCTTGAATACCCTCTACAAATAGAAACGGTTTGGAAAATCTTTGTGGATGGATCCTCGCATGGTGAGGGGTTCGGAGCAGACACCATTATGATAGGACCAGAATTTGAAGAGTTGGAATATTCGTTACGCTTTGAGTTCCCAACAACAAATAATGACGCTAAGTATGAGGCAGTCATCACAGGCTTGAGTTTGGCAGCCAGACTTGGGATAACATCAGTTGAAATCTGTAGTGCCTCCCAGCTAATCATTGGAAAGGTGACTGGTGAATTCGAGGCAAGGGATGGGAAGATGGTATCTTATCTGATGAAGGTTAGGGATTTGCAAAGGGGATTTACGAGTTGCAAGATAACCAAGGTCCCTCGTAGAGACAATGAACGGGTAGACGCCCTATCTAAGCTAGCATCGACGAATCCGAGAAATCTACCTAGCATGGTGAATGTACAAGTTGCGACAGCCTAGCATTTTGCTCATACAGGGCACAGCAAATCCAGAACATGAAAAAAGCTTATTAGACCCATTGGTAGACTACCTAACGGAGAATAAATTACCAAATGATGCACAGGAGGCTAGAAGCGTGAAAATATGGACAGCATCATTTACCATGATCGAAGGGCAGCTATATAAGCGAGGATTTACCATGCCATAACTGAAGTGAAGTGCTTGCGTCCAACTGAAGCTCAAGAGGTGTTACTGGAGATACACTTGGGAATTTGTGGAAATCAATCAGGGGCAACCACCCTAGCTTTCGAAGTTCTCCAGTAGGGGTACTACTAGCCCACGGTGAAGGAGGATGCCAAGGAATTGGTAAGGAAGTGTGATTCATGTTAGAGTTATGGAAATTTGATTCAAGTCCCCACAGAGCAGCAATCGGCCATTTTCGGGGTAAGCACTTTTTTTCAGTGGGGGATGGATATTCTGGAGCCCTTGCCCATGGCCGGGGGGCAACGAAAGTTTCTACTAGTGGCAATTATTTTACCAAATGGGTCAAAGAGGAGCCTTTGGGCACTATCACAACAGCGAAGGTTCAGAGCTTCATTTGGAAGATCGTAATATGCAGATTCGGCATACCGAGAGTCCTCGTCATCAACAATGATAGGTAGTTTGACAACCATGGCTTTAGGGCTTTCTGTTTAGGGTAATGCTACATGTACACACACACTTTTACACAATCTTTTACACCTCTCTCACATGGAGGGGGGTCCACGATTATTTTATTATGTGTGGGCCCCATTCCATGTGAGAGAGGTGTAAAAGATTGTGTAAAAGATTGTGTACACTTAGCATTATTCTTCTGTTTAAGCTATTACATAGATCACAGACTTACTTCGGCAACTCATCCCCAATCTAATGGGTAGGCGGAAGTAACAAACCAGAAAATCTTGTAGGATCTCAAAATGAGATTGGAGAAAGAAAAAGGGCTTTGGGCAAACGAACTACCCAATGTGTTGTGGGTGTATCACACGACCCCACGAGATCCCATAGGAGAAACACCTTTCAAGCTATCCTTTGGGATGGAATCTGTTGTCCCAATGGAAGTCCTAAACGAGTCCGGCATGATGAAAGCCAATTATAATGAAAATTCCATGCTCTCCTTGACGTGAATTGTGTTCTTGCTGTTCTGATCAGTATTTGCTACCTGGAAAATGAGGTCGGGGCTTTCTCCCCCGTTGTACCTTTTATGTGAGAATTAGTGTTCGGTCTTAGAGAATAGGAATAGATTATAATTGAATTCAAATAGTTCGGGTTTCAAGAAGCTACCTTTCTCATCTTAGAGGTATTTATAGCCACCTGTTGCTACGCATATGTTCGGTGGTTGCTGGTGTCACGTGTCCCATGTAGACCTCCCAACTTTCCCACGTTCTGGTAAAGTGACCCCCACTCCTCAAATGGTTGGTTGTACCCACGTTTGCCATTGGGCGGTTCCTGTATGGCTCATAGTCATTTACGTGATTATGTGTAGTGTTGAACCCATAGGGGTAGACGACCTCATGAGGGGTCGACGACCTCATGGGGTTGACGAACGTATGTTGGTAGACAGTCTTATGATGGTAGACGACCCGTGTGGACGTAGAGGGTCTCATGGGGGGTCGAGTCCTAACCCCAATCGCCTACGTTGATAATTATCACTGCCATCTTGTATCAATAATATTAATTTTGCAGTTCATATGCTATCTTTATTTTGTCACTAATCAAAGATTTCGGATTGTTATCAAAAAAACAAGTTAAAGAAATAGTTAATCAATTATGCATCTTATTGTCCTTTCTTCCATTTGTAAGCATAATTGGTGATGCGGGATGAACTGGAAGCCGAGTTACGGTGCATTCAATTTTCAATCTCCTTGGATGGTTGTAAATCTCCCTGAAATTTTTTCTTCAAACTTCAAATTGAGATACAAATCTTGATGATTCAATTTATTTGGATATGTTATTATGCCTCAAGATTATATCTCTAACCTCCCCAAATTTTGAATGAAATATTCCATAATTATATACCTATATTAGGTCCAAAATAGAATTCCAAGAGGATTGAGAACCATAATCTTAGTCAATTTAGGATAATCAAATTGTTGGAATTTTATATTTTCTTGTGCAATTTGGAATTTTTTTTCTTTTTGTTCAGATTGAGTCTTTAAATATTATAATTGAGGTGCTCCAACTTCCAAACGTGAATCCTTGATCTCCAACTTTCCATCTCGGGTCTCCCGGACCCGCCCTGTGAAGAATAAAAAAATTAATTAACTACAAATGT